ACACACACTATGGGCACTGTGTGAGGTAAAACACACACACTATGGACACTGCGTGAGGTAAAACACACACACTATGGGCACTGCGTGAGGTAAAACACACACACTATGGGCACTGCGTGAGGTAAAACACACACACTATGGGCACTGCGTGAGGTAAAACACACACACTATGGACACTGTGTGAGGTAAAACACACACACTATGGACACTGTGTGAGGTAAAACACACACACTATGGACACTGCGTGAGGTAAAACACACACTTATGGGCAACTGATCACTGTTGCATTTTTGTTGAATTTCTCAGATATGGTAATGAAATTATAGTTCTGGAAGTAAATATCCTTGTATTTAGGAGATGTAGGCTAAAGTACTTAGGGACAAACATCATTGCGGTCTTCCACTTTAAAAGCTCAAGAAAAAAAGGAAAATAGAGGAAAAATGGCAAAGTGTTAGTAACTGGAGAATCTGGGTGAAGGATTTAACATGGGTATTGACTTCCCGTTCTGTGTTTTGACATCTTTCTAAATATAAAGTCTGGAGAAATAAAGGCCTTCAGAAGATCTCAGATGTCTTTAGAATCTTTGCCAACTCTGTATTGTGTCATCAAAGATTTTTGATGGTCTGACACTTAGGGTGGGCATGGTGGCTCAGACCTGTAACCCCAGCTACTTTGGAGGTTGAAGCAGGAGGATCCCTTCAGCCCAGGAATTCAAGGATGCAGTGAGCCCGATCATGCCACTGCACTCTACCCTAGACAGCAGAGTGAGATCCTGTCTCTTAAAAAAAAATGATGTGGCACCAAGTTAATTTTCCAGGCTCATTCCCAATTGCACTCCCATATCAACAACTGTTCTACCTACATACACCGTAAAACTCTACATGCACTGCAGAGGGAATAATTCCCAGTGTGGGACAGTGCATAAGCCTTCCTAACCACAGCTCCTAATGTTGCAGCGTCCCTCCCCGTCCCCTCCCCACCACCACTGCAAACGCTATGACACTACTCACAGTCCTTAGCACAGACCAAGCACCGTACATCTCTGGGTTCCTTATCTACCTACCAGTAAAGTTCTCTGCTTCCTCAGTTTTGAATTACTCATCTTACAAAGGCCATCCCAAATGTTTGATCAGAGAACGTAAAAAGTGGAACACAGCTGTAGAAATCATCTGAGTCAGACCTTTGGCTTTGCAAATGAAAAAAATGAGATCCGGACAAGTAGAATGAGCTGCCCAAGTTCTCATATCAAGTAGGCATTGAAACCAGCACTAGAACCCTGATCCATGTGAGCGTCCCTTCTGGTCTCTTAGAACAGTCCCTTGTGAAGGCTGTTCTTAGTCCGTCAGTGAGAATTAAGCACTCCTTGCAGGGTCCCTAAAGCAGGTACTCTGCTTACAGTACTCTTTGGCACACAACCGCCTTCTGTCTCATTGTTAGTCTGTGCCCATCTAACCATGACCCCTATCTGGTAAGCCCCTTCCTTGTGTATCACCCAGAATGACATCATGCAGAGAGCAGACACCCAATATATATTTAGAACCATTAGTAAATAGCAAGTCAGCTGTAAATTGTATCTCCAAGGAACGCTTTACTTGGAAAACAAGCATCTAGGTATTATTTGCACTATTTTTTAAAGTCATGATTTTGATCAAAGTTTTATCTCAGAAACAACAGTAAGAAACTTACCTTTTCTGAAGCGGCCCCAAAAAGCCTCCGAGCCAGCAGCTTTCCTGCCTGTATGGCAACAGGGGTAAGCTCTGGTTTACCCTCCAAAACATCCCCAATAGCAAAGACATAGGGCACGTTGGTCTGCTCCACATCGTTTACAGGTATTTTGCCATTCCTATTAGTTTTTGAAAAGAAAAAAATGACTAACTCTATACTGCTGATGATTAACACTATTCTAGAAGATTAAACACTAGAGAAAGGCTTCCTCTAAGTACACGCCTCAGATTATATTTATCTACAAGGTTAATAATGTAAAATAACAAGAATTTCTGTAACTCCGAAAGAAAACACATCTGTGAAGCTATGTGTGTTTCCTGGATGCCTAGGATGTCTCCAGGCTTCCCCTGCAGCTGCACTAAGCACTTGGGAGTTTTTCTCCTTGCCTGACCAAGGGGATAAAAATTAACTCCAAAATCAGAGATAGTAAGTGAATGTATCTCCACTATTATTTTTCAAAACCACTGCTTAATGCATGAGCTTTCAAAGGACTGAATGAAAGTTACTGATTGACTTATGAAGAAACTGATAATAAAGAGCTGGTATAGCTCTTTATCTTACTGTAAGATAAAGCATCTAAATTTTAAGGCATTTAAATTTTATATCTTAGTAATCAAATTAGAATTTCTAAGAGGTGATCTGCAACAAAATTTTCCTTTGCGCAGCGTTAGTGCAATGATGCCAGGTATACTTACTTCTCATTAATTTTGACACCAATCTTCTCCAAGCCTATTTTCCTTGTACAGGGATCACGACCAATTGCTAACAAAACCTATATTTATAAATAGATCAAAAGCACAAATCATCCACATCAGTAATGAAAGAGGGAACATCACTATAGATCTTGCCAACATTAAAAGGATAATAATGGAATATTATCAAAATAGGGAAAATAGATTCCTGAAAAGACACCATTTATCAAACACACACAAAAGTCTGAATAAGCCTAAGATATGGGTTAAATTGTGTCTCCTCAAAATTCATATGTTGAAATGCCAATACCAAGTACCACAAAATGTGTCTGTATTTGGAGACAGGGCCTTCAAAGAGGTAATTAAGAAGATTAAGACAAAGACCAAAGGATGGCCATGTGCGGACAAAGGGAGAAGACAGACACGTATTTCCAGAAAAAATACAATCCCAAACACAACCCCAACAAACTTTTTCTTTTTCAGAAATTGACAAACTGTTTTTAAAATGTGTATAGCATTAAAAATGCAAGGGGCCTAAACAAAGATTGAGCAATCACTTCACTGGATCTAAGACTTAACCATAAAGCTGCAGTAATCACAGCAATGTCGTGCTGGGAAAGGTCAGACAGATGGTCTGAGACAGACTCGCTGCTAAAGAGCCAAGTGATTTCATCACGGCACCAAAGCAATTCAATGGAAAAAGGAAAGTCTTTTCAAAACATGGTACTGGATATCCATATGTAAGAAAAAGAACGTCAATTCCTACATCACACTCTATGTAAAACCTAACTCAGGCTTCCAGGCCTGGCCGATGCGCCAGGCACCTCCTGAGAGCCTGTGCTGGCCACAAGACACCTCCACACGTGCACCCCCGCGGCCAGCAGGAGAGAGCGGACCATGTGCAGGCTCCCCCAGATCTGAACAACCAGACCACGCAGGGCTGCTGGAAAAACGAAGGGACATCATCCTCTGGAAATTGTCCAGCAGTGTCTCAGAAAGTATTAATACAAACTATCCTACAATCAAGCAATTTTAGTCTTATATATTTATCCAAGAGAAGTGAAAATATATGTCCTTGTACAAAAACTTTATACAAGAAAACTTCATAGGAGTTTTAATCACAAGATCCCCAACTACAAAGAGCCCAGGTGCTCCATCCGTAGGTAAATGAATGGTCAAACTATGCTGTCTTCACGCAATCTATACAATAAAAAGAACTAACTACACGCATACAACACGTATGAGTTCTGAAAACATCAGTCTGAATAAAAGAAGCCAAATACCCAAGAGCACATAGCATGTGACTCCATGTGTGCAACCTCTGGAACCAGCAAAACCACTCTATGGTGACAAAATTGGAATGGTGGCTGCCTGGGGCCAAGGACTGGGGAGGCGCACAAGAGAGCTTTCTGGTCTCACAAAAATACTGTTTCCTTTAAAAGTGTGTGGATTACATGAACATATGTGTTCGTCAAAACTGATGAAACTGTACACCTAAGATCTGTGCCTTTCACTAAATGTATATTATCTTATTACAAAAATAAGCAATTTATAGTAAGATATTATACACTTTATACCAAATACATTTGAAAACTGATAAACTAATTTCTAGAAAAGTATAATTAATTAACAGTAACTCTTGAAAAAAACAAAAAACCTAGAAGTCCTTTGATCATTAAAAAAATTGATTCCATGATCAAATATATCTTCACAGAAAATACTAAGCCTAAATAGCTGTGTCAGTGAATTCTAACAAACATATAAAGAATCAATGCTAATACTGCCAGAGAATAAAAAAGATGAAACATACTGTAAACTTCTTTCATGAGCTAGAATAATCTTCATACCCAGATCTAAAAATGTTCAGAAACCAATATAATTCCTGAATATACATGCAAAAATTCTAAATAACCAACTCTAACATTTCCAAGTTTGGTTTATACAAAGAATACAAAGTTGACTGACCATTACAAAATCAATGTAATTCAACACTTTAACAGATTAAAGAAAAAACTGATCGACAACTGCCAGAGAATCACAGTTATAACTGAACATCCATTCATGATTTTAAAATAAAGAAACAAGACAAAGTAAACAAAAGACATTTAAGAAATAAAAAATATGAAGAAATTTCTTTGATATGAAAAGGATTTACCAAAATCCTACAGAAAACATTATTCTCCAATAATCAAACATTGAATATCTTTCCTTTTGATATTGAAAACAAAAAAAAAGAATGTCTGATATTGCCAATCCTTATCAATATTGTACTACAGGTCCCAGTTAGTATACTTATGCAAGGAAAAAAAATAGAAAAACATTAGAAAAAAGAAACAAAACTGTTATTATTTAAAAAATAAATGAACAGGTACATAGGAAATCTAAAATAAACTAAGGAAAAATTATTAAGTAAGAGTTTAGCAAGATTTCTGAAAAGAAAATCAAAACAAAAACAGGAGCATTTCTATATACTACCAATAGCTAAAAATAATGACATTTTCAAAAAATATGCCATTTGTAAATACATAAGTACCCAGGAATAAATCTAATAGAAGATCTCTGTGGAGAAATTTATTCATTCTGGGAATCATTAAAGACTATCTCAATTAACGAACAGATATACCACATTCACGGACTGGAAGACTGTGTATTGCAAGAAAGCGCTTCCAACTGATATACACGCAATGCAATCCTGATCAAAACTCAACAGGGTCAATTTGGGTTATAGCATATCTTTTTTTGGTCCTGTTGATCCTCTCTACATTTTGCTTTTTTTTAACTGAAAAAAAGTACATAAAAACTATATAAAACATGAATGTATAGTTTCTATTAAAACTATAAAATAATTACAAAAGAATTGCTGGCATTCAAAATAGTCCAAAGATTATTAACATTGCCTGGAGATTTCACATAGTTTCTTGAAAAAGAAAAATAACTTTATTGTTTTGATTATAAAATATAATAACTAGTGTTTACTACAAAAGTATTCAAATGAAGAAATGTACAAAACACCTAATTCTCCAAAAGCAAGCACTCATAACATTTGGATATAGGTACTTCCAGATTTTGTTCTATACACAGTTATAAGTACATATATTTTACCATGGATATTCTGTACGTACCACTAAAAATTCAACTGTCAACAACCAAACTATTTTCTGTATTTATTATAATCTTAAGGAATTTTAATATGTTAATCCTTCTATAATTTTTCCATAAATTTTACCTCTGATAATTTATGAGTGTGTTCACTCACTTAAAGCTGATAAGATATAAAAACGTACTGTGTTATATATTCCTTCAATAGTTTCTGGTCCTTCTGTGGATTTAGCTGATACTTTCAACTTCCCAGGTGATCCTTTCTCCAACTGTTGAACCTAGTAAGGACAAAGAATATAATGATTGTATCTAAAGGTGACAGAAAACTAATGGATCAAAGGGTGTATACGTGTGTACACGTATATTTGCATGTGTGTGGTCGTGTACACGTGTGCAGGTGTGTTTAAGGTTTCTGGACTAAGCAGAGAAAGAGTGAAGTGGACTGTCACCAGGTACATTTTGGAGATAACATGACTTAACAGATTAGTGGAGACTGGAGGGAGCATAAAAGGAGAAATGGAAAGTGGCACCTGTGGCTCAAGGAGTAGGGCACCAGCCCCATATACCAGAGGAGGTGGGTTCAAACCTGGCCCTGGCCAAAAACTGCACACACACACAAAAAAAAAGGAGAAATGAAGTCATCTTAATGACTTGTGTAGACTGTGGTACCATTTTCTGAGTACTGAGATAGGCCAGAAAGATTGGGGTACAAACTCCAGAGTTTCATTTTTGTCTCATTAAATATGAAATACGAGGAATCTGAGTATCCACGTCCAGCAGACAGCTAAGGACACCTGTCAGGCATCTTTCTTGAACTCCACACTCATTTATACAGCTGCCTGCTGGGTATGGATACTACCAACAGGAGCTATAAATCTGACAAGTCGTTTGCATTCAGACAGTACCTAAAACCACAGGCCTCAAGAAGATCATCCAGGTAAAAAGCTCAGAGACGTGAAGAGGGGCAGGATGAAGACTAACAGAGCTGGTGTGTGCAGGGTAAGCAGACACGGAGGGGACGAACACGGATGGTAGGGCCACAGAAGCCTTCATATAGAAGGACAGTCAATTTTACCACATGCCGCCAGGGGCGCCCAGGAAAATAAGGACAGAGACATGACACTGGATTTGACAATGGGCAGTGTGCTCAAAACCCAGGAAGTGGTGGAGATGGCAGCAGCTCAGGGGTGGCTAAATGTGAAACAGAAGCAGGAAATGTGAAGCACCATGGAAAGAAGTGCTTTTGTTACGGGGAAAAGGAAAAAAGGGACCCAGCAAGAAAGGCGGGGGCAGAGGTGAGCAGGACTTAACTGTTTCACAGGAAAGATACTGATGAGAAAAGGGAAGGACGACAACTGAGAAGCGACATCTGGAGAAGGCGGAAGACGTGAAAGCCCGAGAGACTCAGCCTCTCAAGAGACTCAGGGCACTTCTCCCCCATCAGAGGGGGACAAATGAGGTTGGCTTTATAAATCTGGCAGTGAAAGCACTATTTTTAACACTGTTTGGTGAGTACTGACTAATTTATTTAATGAAACGAAGTAAAGACAGGTAAAATTAAAAGTTAAATAGAGAGTAAGAAAATAAAAGGAATTCCAAGTGTCATTAAGACTTACCATCACAGGTACGAATTTTCTTAAGAACTTAACACCATGCTGTTCCATGTAGGAACCTACTTTCTCTGCCATTTCTTGGTCGAAGCCACGAAGAAGGACTGAGCGCACCATGACTGTGACCTCTAAGCCCAGGCCAGCAAGAAATCCTGCACATTCCAGGGCAACGTAGGAGGCACCAACCACTAACGTTTTGCCAGGGCAGTGAGGCAGAGAGAAAAGATCATCACTGAAAAATAAAAATTAAAAAGACAACACCTAGGCAATAAGAATGAGATGAATATTTAGGTTCAATGCATTCTGATCTTTTGATGATTGAACTGCAATTTGGTGTGTGAATGAAAAAATACTAAAATTAACACCTTCTGAAGTTTGAAACTGAGTCTACTGTGAAAAGAACGTGGAGAAGGAAGTATACCTCAGCTTTTTTCAAAATCAGAGCATAAGCAAAGCTATTTTAAAAACAGAATAGAAATATTAGACTATATTATACGTGATAAGAAGAAAAACAAGGGAATGTCTGCTCACCTGAACAACGTGCAACAAGAAATGTCTTTCTTAATGTGAGTCAACAAAAGTTTGCAAGTCACTGTATTCCATTATACAATGTCCTTTTTACCACCCGTGGAGAACTCTTAGTAAACTCCAGTGTTAAGAAGAGCTGTGTTGCTTCTGCGCAGACAGTCTGTGTTCATTGTGTGCACACTAACCCTTAAAATTAATTGTATTTACTTCTTTGCTTCAGCCTGTAGGAAGTTTAGAACCAAATTCCCAGACTACTTCCAGCAATTATCTAGAAGCATATAGTAAATATTTTGTGCATAAATTTGACCATTGACATTATAGGGTATCTCACCCATAAAGTCCCCATACATGGGAAAATGAGAAATTATAGCTAAATGAACCTTAATTTGTAAGACATTAGTTACAGAATTTTATAAAGTATTCTCTACATGCTGGGCGCCTCTCATAAAATTTTGTAATGACTGTTCCTCATGTATGGCACCTTTATGGCCAGCCTCTGGCACACCCTCTATTTACCTAACCTTATTTTCTCCTATTTTCATTATTTTAACTATTTAGCTTCTCAGATTGTATGTACTTTATTTGTCATCAATTTAAATCATTTGTGGAAGAAGACAGGGAGTAGTAAATTGGAAACAAATAACGGAATTTATTAAAATGAAATGTTCTAGTTAATCTTACCTAGTAATACAGTACTCTTTATCTCCTTGGATTCCTAAATACCGCGGCCTTTCACCTGTTGCTATTACAAATTTTGCAGCAGTATAACAAGTTTCCTGACCTTTTCTATTGGTTGCCTTGAAAAAAGAAAAGTAAATCTCACTTATTCACCAAACACTACAGAGTATCAGATACCCTTGACAAAACAGTTACCACCCCTCTGAGCTTCTCCTTCAACAGAAACAAAAGTAATTATACAATGTGATACGGGCCAACACAGATACTAGGAGTCACCACAGAGTACTGACCACAGCTCCTCAGTGGGATGCAGGCTGCCTAGTGGAGACAAGGAGTGGGAGGGACTCCAGAGGGAAGCACACAGGCCAGACAGAGCCAAGCTGCAGTCTAGGAAACAGCAAGAGGCCACAAGTGACTGGAGAACAGGTGTGTTAGAGGCAAAATGAAACAGGCAGACTGGAGCCAAATCTGAAGGCCCTTATACTCCATCCTAGAATTAAGGCTGTGGGTACCAACAAATGTTGTTCATTATTTTATTATACAAATAATTAACAAATGCATTTTCATTTTTAAAAATTCAAATATCAGTGAAGATGTGTTAGACAAGTGGGCTTGCACCAGCAGTGGGCTGAGGCTGAGCCGCCTGGAGTGTAGGGCCTTGCTCAGGAGGGCCCCAAGACAGGCAAGCCCGCACAGGTTGTGCGGGAAGGGAGTACCTGGGGTTTCCAGCCTGAGCAACAGGGAAACACTGATGCCACCAAGTGATGGATCAAAGAAAAGGCGGGTTTGGTTGAAGAAGGACTGACTTATTCAAACAGGTGTGCCAAAAGTAAAACTAACTTGTATTTGAACTGTGTTTTACGTTAACACTGCAATTCAAATTGGCCCAGGTAAGGCTTTAAAGAGTCAGCTTTAAATGAACCACCTTGTAACTTTATAACTTAAAATAATAACTGGCTAAAAAATAATCTAAAATCTTGTCAAAATTATCTCACATGGTGCTACCAAAGTACAAAAATAAACTAGATGTTGAGGATAATATCTGATTATCTTTCATAACTCCAATCTAAAATATCTTTTGAGTTCCTTAAAACGAACTCTTTCTCCTTACTATCATCGTGTAATATATAAACAGTACAAATGTAAACTTATCTTATTCATGTACTCCTTTTAACAATGCTTTTATGAATAATATATATTGGAGTTCAGTAAAAGTTTTGCTGTAAAAAAAGGTTCCACTAATAAAACTGTGATCTTTAATCTTTTGAACTTTAAATTGTTTAATCTAAACATTTTCTCTTTTAAGATAACAATAAAATCAGAGGCAAATAACTTTAGATTATGAAACCAACATATAAACAATTGCATGTTCACACAAATAAAATACAAAATATAGTCTAGCAAAGGGGAGGGAGAGGAAGGAGGGCAGAGGGGGGCAACTGGCAGGATCTCATCTGACCTGAGGGTGTTCAGCATCCCCCCGGGTGAACTCAAGTGAGAACAACATAACCTAAAAATCTGTACCCTCATATTAATTTGGAATTAAATTTAAAAAATAATTCTTTAAAGTGTGATTTCTTCAATTTAGCCAGATGTGTGGAATGAACAAACAACAGGGGAAAAGAGAAACTTATGCATGGCTGTGCATGTGTGTTAGGTACGTGCACAAGGGTCAGGCAAATACAGGGACCATGAGGAAAGGCAATGAACAAGACAGGAAATTCAAACCATACCTTTATCTTATGATGTTCAACAAATTCACCGTAGGAATTGACGTAGGCCACAGACTTCTCCCTCAGAGACAGCCTGTAGCCCCAGTTTAGAGAGCCAATGTGGTTCTGAACTGCTTCTATCATTGTCTCCCAGCTGTGCCTCACTGCAAAGACAATCAGGGTGAAGACGGAAAGCGATTTTACTTCAGTGGTAAATATATATAATCACACATAAGCCATACTAGACACTGCTTTAAAAATCTGGAAGTGGACAGGGATAATTAGCAACTTAAATCTTTTTTTATGTCAGCGACAGTTCCTACCTCTTCCCATTTTATATTTCAAAGCATATGGAGAAAGCAAAGTCCTGAAAAGAAGAAAACTGGGCAAGAGGTAGGCAAACGGTCCTTGTATGGCAGTGCCTGGCAGGAGGTTCCCCTCTCTGTGGGGCACCCTGAGCACCCTTCCCTGCTCCCTGGGGCACCCCGAGCACCCTTCCCTGCTCCGTGGGGCACCCCGAGCACCCTTCCCTGCTCCGTGGGGCACCCCGAGCACCCTTCCCTGCTCCATGGGGCACCCCGAGCACCCTTCCCTGCTCCGTG